TGTGCAATGGCCAAATGCTTTTCTCCTTTCCGATAAACAAAGGTGGGCTGTATTATCTGCTATTTTGTATCCTCGTAAATTACCTAAAGTGACAGGTACTTGCTTTCCTGCCCAGAAATCTTTAGTGTATGTCAGCTAAAAGTACACAAGAGGTAAACAGCTAAAGCACTGTCATGTCTGTCACTGATATTTATCTTTGCAGTATTTTTCTTAGATTTACTTTAAAATCTCCTTTTCAAAGCCAGCCTCACCCCTGGCCCTCCCACAGAAACAGCTGGCTTACTTTGCAGACTTTTCCTCAGCTGTGGTCCTGGATCTAGAGGGGGCCTGGAGGACAAGAAGTGTGGAGCATGTAAAGGAGGAATATGTGAACAGTTCATTTATAAATTGTAATGAGAGTTGTGACTTTAGAATCACTTTCTGAGCAGCCCTACAGTTAAGATAATGTTGAAAATGCTGTGTAAATTTTAGATTTCCACAGTGGCTGGGGCAAGTCAGGGAAGAGGGTATTAGGCCATGAGATAAAACTTTATGACTTCTGCTATCACTGGAGTAGAAGAGAGGATAGAAGCTATATCATAGGGATTCCCTGGGACATCATGACAAGAGGTCTGACAGGAGCTTATTTAGACCTGGTCAGAAAGTGGGAATTTTTGAGGTTTACTCACACGTAAGTAGAAAGCTGTATTACCGTAGAAAGCTGTATTACTATATGATCCGGATAGATAGATTGAAGACATCTTTTCAATGTCATCTTTTTGATGTTATTGTCTCTAAATACCAATAAATTACTAACTGAAATAAATAGATGGTACATATATACATGTTCTTTGTATACATCACAAATGGTCTAGATTCACATTTAGAAAGTCACTGTTCCAACTGAATCCTGCATCGCATCAAATGACATGAGCAGAATCACACTGATGCAATACTGGAAGAATCTAATCAATCAGAAACAAATTCTTCAAATTCCAACTATAGCTACAAATGCAAATTAACTAGAAAAATACTCTGCATTGTCATGGTTATTTCTACCTGGTTTATATCAACAGAAGTCTGTCCCATTAAACCCACGAGAACAGGGGTATTATTTAAAAATAACTTAAACTCCAACAGAAAAAAACGGATACTTCTGTGGAGATGTGAACACAAGGAAATCCTATTACAGTAAAAAGTAAAATTAAGATAGGAAGTGGAAGGAAAAGGAAGAAAAGGTGTGAGTAGCAGAGTAATCACATATCAGGTCTCCTTCTCCACGAGACAGAGAAGAAAAGTAGAACCATTTGATGCCTCTGGTGTCATGCAGTGATATCAAGTCACCTGTTCATCATCTCATAGTCACAGGTTTTCATGCATGTTATTGATGAACAGCCATGTTAAAAATGAGGAGGCTATGTCGCCCGAATATCAAATAGCAAAGCTAGTTTTTAAAAAAATGTGTCATTTTGGATTCCAGAATAAAATTCACAATAAAAATGTGAAAAGCCCTGAATATGAATCAAAAAAGCCACTTAAAAGGATTGTTGCTGGGGCTCAAGTCCGCACTTAATGCTTTGGTAGCTGCTACTGCATGAGCGGAATACACTGACTTGAAGGAAATGTCAGCCCAGCTGAGTCAAACTACCTCTTAATGCAAGAACAAATAGCATATGACAGGGCCCAAGGGGCCTGAAGAGCAAACAAATAGTTTGTCCCTGTCCACTCTGAATGTAGTGGTGTAGTTGACATAGGCCTCTAGACAAGTAGCATACTCAGCAAAGGGTCATTATCATTAGTGTCCCTGATCACATAAGAATCAGAGGCATCAGAGGACGCTGGGTTTTCAGTATGTTGCCAAGGAGAATTTCATAAGCCTGAGGATTTTTCTTGATCAAGGGTCTAAAATAGTTCCCAACCAAACTATAAAACTTGCTCAGAGATTGTCAACACCCAGCTAAGTGACACAGAAAAAATTGAGCTTTTTGGCATATGTTTCTGGAAACCTAATGAGATTATTTATCTGAAGTTGAGGAGGGAACCTCCTGTCTTTTTTCCTGAAGCTGGGTATAGTATTCTAAGTATATGAACAATGGCTGTGCACATTTGTCTCCTCATTGCCCACCCAGCTACATACACTCAAATGTACACACACATTTCTGCTAAGTGCGACTCAGGATGAATTTGTGTTGCCCCTGCCATTGTAGTGCTGCCCTTCCATGAGCTGAAACTCTGAGCTTTCTCACAGGAACCAAAAAAAGTGATAGGAGGTCTGGAGGGGAACATTTCTCAAGCAAAAACTGGTAAAATAAGTTCAATGTGATCATTTTCCATGACTCCCCTAAACCAGGCATGAAGGTAAGGTTTGAAGAGGTGAAAGCTCACTGGTTAACCATAATAATGGTTTATATTTATGTCCCTCAGCTTTG